CGAGTTCACGGTATATCAAGGAAGGTTATCACCGATCATCTTGTGTTCATCTTTATTGTTAATCTTCTACTTGTTATACTGTTTATCTTTGCTGTAATAGAAAACAGGGACTAACAAGAATAATCTGCAACATGATGTAATAAAATGTAACACGATGCAACAAATGTGATGCAACAAATAGAAACAAAAACAACATATAAAAATATCACAAAATACATTTAATATAATCCATTATTACAATTTCTTACATTTATATATTACATCTATATTTCTTTTGGTTCTTCTCACTTCTTATTCCTTTTATGTTGCACCTTAACACACAACTTATCAAGTTGTCTCCGCTATCTTCACTTTCCTTGTAAATCTTCTCGTCTTTACATCTTCATATACTTTTTTTTATAATGTGCCTGCAAATGGGGGAATAGAATCACTATGATAAAAAATCTGAATAAATTACTACAAGAAATCAATAAGCCTATATGACAGAATAACACAAAAAGGCATCCACAACTTGAAGATAACCAAAATAAGAAACTAAGACTGAAATTGAACATTTTCTCTCTCAAAATATTCCTTTACATTACTCAGCACCTCAGAGATCAAGCTACACTAGTCTTCATAAAAATAAAATTCAGCACTAACAAGAGATGAGAGGTTAATGAGCTTCAACTTCCTTTCTACCGGATACAGAGAAATACTTAAAGATTTTAGATAGGGTGCTGATAAATGCAACAAATGGTCACTTTCTTGTTCTTCATCTTCAAAGTTTTGCACCCGGAGGTCATATAGACTCTTAGTTGATCTCCAAACAAGTGAATCCCTAACAACCACTAAGATCCATTGAATTCAAAACTGGACAGCTTGATAATATCATTTCAAGTACATGCTGAGGCAAATCAACATCAGAGATCTGTAAAGAAGCCAATGAAGGCCACTGGATTGTTCTTCCAGGATCCAAAATGCAGCCATCCAAAGACATTGATGTAAAAAAGAATTTGAATACATCATTTCAGGAAGAGTGTAAAAATCTTTGCTTTCGCCTAATGTCAAACTAACTTCTTTTGCCCTATTTCAAGGCAAACTCTAGCCAATTATCAACATCCAGAGCAAAACATTTCTTGTAAATGAAAACAACCTTCAAATTCTTTAGATAATTTCCACTACGAGCAACAAGGGTCTTATTAATCCAAGCCACAAAGTCAAGCCTTTTCTTAGTTTCCTCACTTTCATTAGAGAAATCCAAATGGAATTCAAGCATTGGCAATTCAGCACAAAGATACTTCCATTCAAGCACTCCCATTCTTATTTGTGTACATGAATAATGTTTTATTCCTTTTGCTGTAATTTGTTAACCCTCAATTCTAGATGATAGCAGAACCACTATCTTTTGAAGTTTTCCGTTTGCATAACTAATATGGAGTATCTGTTTTTAAGCAACTCCTTTCACTTTCCATTCATTAACAGAATGGAAGGAGCAGAATTGTAAACATATGCATCGACCTTACTGGATTTAGCACTGCTAGATGTGTGTTATACTCTCTCAATATTTTTTACTGGATTTCAGGAATATGAAGCGGAGACAACTAAAAAGCCTAAAAATAACGAAATATACAAATATTAAGCTACAGATCGTATCGCAGTAGCAAACGAGTTACCCTCGGCTTTGAACTAATGAAGAAGCACAAACTTTTCTACTTCAATCTTTCAAACAATCTATAAACATTAAAAACAGAGAACTCAAAACAATTAAGATACCATCAATCACATACACACCGGCAAGTTAAAACCAATCTCGCCTAATATCAATGATAAACTTCAATTCACACCAAAATACACAAGCTCAAAAATGTAAATGATTAAACAAAATTGTAATTTAAAGTTTCCTGTGACAGACCTGAACGTCATCATATATAGCTCCAATGATTGACCAATATGATAACATCTCTTCCTCAAACCTTGAGCAGGTGAAGCAGGCCGGGTTGAGCATTCGTCGACTTCTCTTCGACGCAAACTGGAGGTCTATTTCTACGTTTCTGCATACGAGCTAGTGCACGTGGTCCACTCTATGCGAGATCGGTCAGGCGTTCACGAGGAAACGGGTCATCGGGGTCAGAGAGGAGTGCCGGATCTAGGAGCAGGATTTTAGAAACTTTTAGGTGACGGAGAGGATGGAGGTGATTAAGGAGACTAGGGAGAAGTTTGGGCACTTCTTCTACCGTTTTCCTGAAGGTGAATCTGTCGACTTATCTATGGAGACCATTCCTGTCTAAATACCAATCTTCGGGATACAACGTCTTGTTTAGAGTATCTATTTTTGAAATATAAAAACTCAAAGTGAAAAGAAGAAAGTTATAAATGAAAAAATAACGGGCTAGGGACATAAACGAAATAAGGTGGGTAAAAGTGACCCATTCGGGTAATTTGCACCATATTGTATTTCAAAGTCCATAACCCAAAAAAATCTAACTTTGGGCCTGAGATATGTCCGATTCTGTGTTGTATATATGTCCTAGCGACAATCACTTTTTAGAGATATATGTACTTGATCACATTCAGTTTTATATATTCGATATATGCGGTATTACACATTGATGATTAAGTATTTTGATTGTCAATATCTTATTCATAATTGTGTTCCCTTGGACTTATGTTATCAATAAGTAAGTGGGAGCTTATATGATATAACATAAGGTCCTAAAATAGCCCCAATCAATGATCATCAAGAATGGGATATTGATGATATACGATAAGATTGGTATGTGGACTGCATCATACTTTTAGAAAGTATAGTTGATCTCACGACTATGAGTTCCTGTAATTCATGATGGTCACATAGATATTTTAGAGAATATTGGCATACCCACCGAGAAACCATTTGATAAGTTCTATTCATGTGTCTATGGGATTATCGGCGTATAGAGTAGTGTAATAGTCCTCCGACTTGAGGTCAATACATACTACATGTGCGGAGTGATGTACTTTGACCATGACCAACGCTTGCACTCCAATCGGGGTAGATACGGCATGTGTTGGGTGCATCACGAAGCACATGGAGTAGTAGTTGAGCCAAGAAAGGATTCATTCCTCATAATAGATTAAGAGAGAACATTCTACTTCTCATATCTAGATGGATCATAAAGTCATTGGCCAATGCAAAGATATATTCGTTTTGGATATCGAATATGATCGTTATGGATCATCTAGAAAGATTGAGAGACAGAGACTGAGTTATTGGGATAGACACTATATCATGTTCTAGACTTAGTTGAATGTTCGCTGAATGAAAGGACCGTATCACTATGAGCTCTATATTACAGGGAGTTTGTATAGTCCTCGCAAACGTCCTTATATATTAAGTTTGTCTGGAGAATCGTCTAGGGATTCGCTAAGACCTTAATTTGATTAGTGCTTAATATATAAGGCCTTATGGGTCACACAACAAGTGATTATACCTTCCGATTGAATTGTTAGAAGGAATTAAATATTATTAATTGGATTAAATAATATTTAATTCGTAATACTGAAAATGAATTAAATATTAATTAGATTAAACATATTTAATTCATGAAGCTGAAGGAGCGTTCTATTTGATAGAATTAATTAAGTAAGATAAATTAGATTTATCATACTTAATTAAGATGTATTTATTATTAAATAAAGTAGATATTTTCTTTTGTAATTTGGAATTAAAAGAAAAGTAAATAAAATAAATATTAATATATAATAATTAGAAAGTGGCGTGCAGCCACATCTCAATTATTATTATTATTATTATTTTGTTTTGTTTTATCTACTTATTTAATTAATTAGGAGTATTGGTCCTAGTAGGATTAGAACTCATTAATTAGAAAGACTTTCATTGTGATTGGGAAACTAGTTTCGAACTAGTATAAATACATCCTTCTCCTTCATAATTTGCAGACCAGTTTTCAGATTCAGTATTACCAGTTTATTTCCCTGCGAAGAGATTTCCTAGCCTTTCTCTTAGGGAGATCTAACCGTTCTTTCGGAAAGGAGAAATCACGTGGATACCAAAGGTCAATGAATATCACCGCTAGGCTGGGAGATCTGTAAGTTCTAACTCAGATCTGTTATTATTATCATATTCGTTATTTTGTCATAATCAGGGAAGATCTGTTTGGGAAAATTTTAAACTTCCGCTGCCGTACTTTCGAGGTACGTTACATCAATTTCCTAACATTATTCACCTTCTAATTTGTGATCCGTTTGAAGGTGAGATGGATATGATTTGCAGATTATGTATGGACAAAGCATTAAAAAAAAATTGCTCAGAATAAAGAGGTTGTGAAGAAGAGGACGGAAGTTTAGTTGGGTTCGTTTCTTTTTGTTGCATTCAATCTTTTGCTTGTAATCAACGAGTTCTATGTGTAATTGGAATTTGACATTGCACCCCACTTTTTGGTGATATTGGATTTTACACCCCATTTTCAAAAAACTTTAATTTTCCATCCTATTTCACTTGAAAATCCTTTGACTTTGCACCTTTATGAGATTTTTTTTCTTCACAAAAAGTTATATGTTGGGGTGCAAAATCAAAGTTTTTTCAAAAACAGGGTGCAAAGTCCAATTCCCCCGTGAAATTTCTAGTTTAAAAAGTTTACGAGGGATTTTCATTTCTTAGCACCAAATTATCTGATAAACGATTGGTTTAAAACTGTAGCCGATTGACAATTTGTACTGTCTGAGTGTCTGTTTATGTACTTCGTTTAGAAATTTAAAATGATGTTCTTTATAAAATTAGTTGCTGCTCCACTTAATTTTTACCGTCAAAATGATAAGGTAATAGCGTACATATGATGGTATTTTTGGAAAGTCTTACCTTATAATTTCTTTGGTTTAATATTTGTGAAGTCAAACAAGAACTTTAATTGACATGAGGATTACATGATATTGATTAAAAGAGACAGACGTAGTATAATATACTGATCATACTTATAGAAGAATAAAATAAATTAGGAATGATCACACAAAATATTATAGAAACAATGAGGTAATAATAAGATTTTTTTTGGTCAATTAAAACTATTATTTTAAAAAATGAAATGTTACAAAACTAAATAAAAATAGAACTCCGATCCAATATCAATTCAGACAAATCAAAACCAGAAAATTTTGGTCCGGCTTTCAGATCCTAATTACTTGTGTATCAAGAAAAAAAGAAAAGGTTACTCTTCCTTCCCAAACATAGCCAAAGACAATATCGAGTAATAGTGAATTTTCACATCACAAAACCGATTAGGTGACATCTCATCCCTGAGAATCCCAACATCAATCGGACAATGAGATGAAAGGATGTGAGTTGAATTTTACCGGCAACCCAAATATAGAGAGAGAGTCTTTAACCCTACTACTTACAAATGCGATATGCATTTTTATCATGGTAAGTTGTCATGTTGCCAGATTGAAACTAGAGACTTCCCTTATGACACCACCTGTCTAATTGATTTGTCCTCACCTTTTGTAGAAGGCCTGAAAGTGCCTGAAACTATTCGAAGTCCAAATTGTAGAGCAGTAGAGCTCCACGTAATATTCGGTTTCAGAATCGCCCCCTCTTTCTGTTAATTTGGTCATATTTCCTCTTCCTCTGTTCTGTCATCGCCTTGTCTCCTTAATACTTCTTAATATTGTGATTACAGATTAGTTTTTTATTCCTGCAAATTTCGGACCTGAATTTGCCTTCCGGTTAGTCCTTATCTAGAACAATTAAATACATTAGTAAAAGCATGATTCGATCATGAAGTAAATCCATCTAAATCGAACGATTTTCAATTTACCAACGCAGCATCTTCCGACAGCGAGCTGCACCGCTGCTACCTAGGAAGCACGGAAACGCCTATCTCCTTCAAGTTTCCGTCCCGGAAACGTTTCGGAAACGGGAAACGAAGGGAAACGCTGGGGAAACGTCGGGAAAGGCCAGGAAACGTTTCTAGGCTATTGGGCTTTTGGGCCGGGTTGGGAAACGTTTCTGATACGTTTTTTTAATTCATTATATGCGTTTCTTTCTGAATCTGAAGAATACCATTCCTGCTGTGCCGCACTCTATCCGCAAACGAACGTCGTCCGCAATCCTTCTGCAATCCTTCTGCACGACTCCCCAGTCCCGCACTCGAAAACGAAGGCTTGAAGAGTTGTGACTCCCCTGTCCCCAGTCGACTGGAACAACAAAGTCAGACAGTCTGCATCGGACTTGAACGATTGAAGAGTTGAAGCTGCCAGCGACGAACCCTTGTGAAAGACACAAAGGCTCTGGTGTTGCATTGAAGGCTTGAAGAACAGGATATCCCTTGCCGCTTATTTGTGAGGCGGTGAGCATTAAATTAATTGCTGCCAGAGTATTAAATTGCTGTCACAATAAGTGATTCATCTTTTTAATCTTGAAATATGGGAAGCATTGAAGTTAGTGGGTCTTCTAGTGATGCTGGCAGTGGGTCAGGTTCTTCCGTAGGGATTGATAATACACCGTAACATTACTTAGACTAGTAAAATTTTAATTTTTAGTTCGACGTTTCCTTTGCCGTACCCGTATCTTGATATTCTGAGTTTAGAGTTTCCGCGTCCCCGTTTCCGTTTCAGTCCTGGTGCTACTTAGGCTGCTACAGCCGACAGCGCCCTACCCGGCTGCCCTTACGTCAGTCCGCCGCACTACTCAGCCAGGTAATCCGCCGCATAAAGCTATGAAAAAACTGTTCTTCCCCACCTGCCATCTTTACTCAACAGATGTATTTCAGTAGTTCTTTTGTGGCTAAAGTTCTTAACATACTCTATCTAAACTCAATTTTTATTGTAAAAAAACAGAGAAATCGCAAAAAGCGAGTGACGATTTTTAAGAGAAAGACAGATATGAATACAGGGGTGGACTAACTTTTGACCGAAAACTATGGAAGTAGAAGTAGTTGTTGTTCTCTAATTATGGCGTGCCAAAGCAGTATGTTTTGTGCTGTTTCCAAGTGAACTAACAGAAAATTGAATGTCTTATTTTGTCCTGATTTGAGTACATATACTTATCTTTGTATACCCTTATAATGCTGTGTTATTATGATCACTTTACTTCTAGTTGCCATGAGCAAGCACATTTTAATTGGATACATCATGTTTCTTTTTTCTAGAGCCTTCCTAATTCTCCCTACATGCAGTAGTTTCTTTATATCCCCTATGCTGCTGCTGTGATATTTAGATTGGCTTTTGATTTTTTGCTGCTTTCTATTGGTAATGTAGACCTGGTTTGCACCTTGACAGATCAACGATCTTTGATATATCATTATATCAATGAAGGCGTAGCAAGATCAAGGGAAATCAACACTTTTTAAATGAAAGTATATTAAGAACTCCATATAATTAAGTTGGGAGATTTAAAATTATGATAAAAATATCTATTACTACCTATTATTTGTTCCTGAGTATGCTGCACTTTTGACATTAGAGTGTAAATTATGAGATCCGAGCACTGATAGTACACAGTACATACCGTTCGACCCTACATGCTCAAAACTGGTTCAAAACCGGACTGGAACCACGTGTGTAGATAATACTAACCCAAAATTGGACATGAACTATTTGGTTTTAAACCGTAACCAAACGGGTTTATAACTGAAACCAGACTAAAAATATAGTTAGAGAAATCTTTATTTTAAAAAATCTAAATTTTGTTGCAATTGAATTTATTTTATAATTTATAGCGAGTATATGTAAGACTTTTGGCTCCTACTGATTGCTGAACTGGAATGCTAGATCCTCCCCTGGTTTTCATCCTTCAAAACACAACCATTGAATCTTGTTTCACTACAGTAATGGGATGGTATAGAAGATCAAGACTTGGCCTGGATGCTCTTATGCTTTCAGCAGCCAAGATTTCACCCAGAAGTCCCGTCTTTGAAATAATCTCCAGAGCCAAATTCAGATCCGGGTCACCCCATGTCTCCTCTCAATTTCCAAGAAACACATCAATTTTTCAACCTGTGTTTCAACAGAATCACTATAAAACCCAATTTCTCGTGCAGTCAAGGAGATGCTACTATGTCGACCGGTACCAAGTCCGCCATTTCCGTCCCAGAGGACCGGATCGGTGGTTCCAAAACCCTAGAAATGTGTTCATCGCCGTTGTGGTCGGGTCGGGATTTGTAATATCCATTTACTTTGGGAATTTAGAGACTATACCATACACGAAGCGCACCCATTTTGTGCTCTTATCCACAAGCCTCGAGAAGAATCTAGGAGAGAACGAATTCAAGAAGTTAAAAGAAAGCTTTAAAGACAAAATTCTCCCCTCCATCCACCCAGAAAGCGTGAGGGTACAATTGATAGCCAGTGACATAATAGGGGCTTTGCAGAGAGGTTTGAGAAAGGAACAAGTTTGGAGTGATATCCACTACACATCATCAGAGGGTGTGGAGAGGAGTAATAGAACTAGCTATGATCGTGAGACATTAATGGCTACTTCTCCATTGAGTGATAAATGGGAGGATAATGAGGTTCTAGATGATAAGTGGATTGAGAAGAGTAGGAAGGAGGGTAAGAAGAAAGGTAAAGAATCTGCTACTGCACATTTGGAGGGTTTGAATTGGGAGATTTTGGTGGTTAATGATCCCATGGTTAATGCTTTCTGTTTGCCTGGCGGGAAGATTGTTGTCTTTTCTGGTTTGTTCAAGCATTTTAAGTCTGATGCTGAAATTGCTGCCATTATTGGCCATGAGGTACAATTTCATCCTAATAAACTTAACTTTGCTTCTCTGTTTATTGGGAGTAATTAAACCTCTTATTGAGTTATAAAATTACTAGAATAATTTAAACCCCCATTCTTATACTCCCTCCGTCCCATATTTAACTCCGGTTTTGACCGGGCACGGGTTTTAAGATAGTGGGATTTGTGTGGTAGAGAGTTATGCAGAGGAGAGAGAAATGTGTAAGAATGGTTGTGAACCACATATTCTTTACCAAAAAGGGAAAAAGGAGATAAATTTGGGACGGACCGAAAAGGAAAGAATGAAGATAATTCCGGGACGGAGGGAGTAAAAAGAATGTACATCTTTTTTACTTCTTTTCAAATCAATCAAACGTACATGCTTTTACATGTTAAGAATGGTCACTTATACCCCTACATGTTTCTTGTATTGTTTCAAAATTGCCTCAACTGTCCATCTTATAAACCAAACATACACAAATCCAAATGAAGTAAGCGCTCTGCAATTTGTTTATTAAGGAATTGGTTTTGTGGGTGTTGGTGAACATGAAATTGGGCCTTTGGCATTTCTGCAATTTCTCATGGTTTACATTTTCGCTTATTATTTTCTGTATTTTTTCTTGAGTTTGTTTTCAGTAAAATGTTGTCCGTAACATGTTCATGTCCTTTAATTCCACTTTGAGTAATTTCAATAATGTTGCTGCACTTTGAAATTATTTTTAACGTTGCTTTTTATTATAATTATAAGTACCTTAAAAATGTAAATGTTGAAATTGCTAGCTTTCCATAATAACATTTTTTACTCGGATACTGTAGGAATTCTACATGCACAAATTAAAGGTGACTCTTAGAACTCTTATTTTTTTGGACAAAAAATTGAGAAAATGAGAAAGTATGACTTTTACTTGCGCTGTTACGGTTCTAGTATTTTGACAATTTTCTAAGTGTCTGTAGTGACCTGAATGATGTTCATTAGCTACCATGACGGTATTTTCACAATTATTGTAGTGCCCATGTATTCAAGAGTTATGTTTTAGTAATGTTATTGGAAACACCCAAAAAAATAATCTTGAAAGGCGAAGTGTGTATAGTAACCAGGAAGCCTAGCTATGTGATTATGATTTTAATTTAGACAATGATGTTGATGTCGTACACTACTTTGGGAATAGGTTGCACATGCTGTGGCCAGACATAGTGCTGAAGAAATTTCAAAACGGTTGTGGCTTACCATCATACAACTGGTTCTTTACCAGTTTGTTATGCCGGACGTTGTTAACACCATGTCCACTCTTTTCCTAAACCTTCCCTTCACAAGAAGGTATGCCTTTTTCCCCTCTATCACATGCTACTTTCATTGTTAAAATTTCCAGCTTCTTAGAAGAAGCACAGTATAACATATTCAGTGTTCCATCAGGATGGAGATGGAAGCAGACTACATTGGGCTTCTTTTGATGGCATCAGCTGGGTTTGACCCACGATTTGCACCAAAAGTGTACGAGAAGTTGGGGAAAATTTCAGGTGATTCGGCTTTGAAAGATTACTTGTCCACCCATCCATCTGGTAAGAAGAGAGCTGAGTCGCTGTCTCGGGCTGGAGTCATGGATGAAGCTCTCAATATTTATCGCGACATTCAGTCCGGAAAAGGAGTGGAAGGATTCCTATAGAGGGATGAATGAAGAAAATGCTCACTGTTATACTTATACCCCACAGGAACTAACTAAACTACCTTGTTTGTGCTTAAAAGTCAGAACGAGTTGAGCTTTTGGTTTTTCATTTTCATTTACCTCAGTGCCGCAAAGGCTCCCACCTACGGTGGGGTAAGGGAGTTGAGCTTTTGGTTTATTTGTAAATATTTAATTTACTAAAAATTGACGTTTTTTGAAATGGTAAATGGCTTATACATACTAGGGATGGGCAAAAATACCGAACCGGCATGGTACTGATCTGGACCAATATGGTACCGAACCGAAAAACGGAGTTTGAAATGAATCTCAAATTTTTTGTCCCGAACCGGACCGTACCAATTCCAAACAATGCCATGATCGGTTCTTATAAAATGAGAACCGATACCGGGCCCGAACCGGATTGAAGTATGATTTTGTTATTTAAATTTACATTTATATCATTACTTTGAGTCCTTGACTAGTGCGTTTGTACGTTAACAAACTTTGCTAGTTCACTGGAAGCTTGGAATTGGATCGAAGTATGATTTAATTATTAAAACTTGTACTACTATAATTATCTGAAATTTATGAATTATGTAATAGTTTTTTTGAAAGTTATTAATTATGTGATGTGAAAATTAAAAAATCGTGTGGTTTTTTGGAAGATGGCTAAACTTTAATTTCCCTTTAAACACTTGGAAAAAGTGACATTGTTTGGTATTGGTATGGCATGATACCGTCTCGTTTGAAAATAAGCTATATCGAAGTACCGAACGGGTTTAGATCTAAGATAGAACCGAACCGAATCGAATTGAACCGTTTCAATAGTCACGGTACGGGTACGGGTTCGGCAAAATATTGGATCAGACCGGACCGCGTCCACCCCTAATACGTAGTACTAAAATTCCAGAACTGAGGCAAGTTTTATTAAGATAATTAAATAAGTCACACCTCGATTGCTAGTCCTACATTCAAAGTTAGGGAATCATGTTTCAAAAGTAATATAACTCGTTGATCCTGAAAACAAACACAATTGAGCCAACTATTATTGAAAAAGACTCTTCATCACCCACCCTAATTTGCATTATTTTAAAACATCGGTTATATACTTATATAATTAAACTGTTGGTTATATAATTGCTTGGTGGGTATGATTTCTTTTTCTAATACGATGTTCATACTTCATATTACCTGATATTTCCCGGCTATTCCACCTAGCTAGTTTTGAAGGAGTGATGGCATTTTATAGGTTTTTGTAGACGTTCGCTGATCATACATGAATAACATGATACATTAGAAATCACAAAATAATAATCAATATAGAGGGAATTATTAAAAGATGGTTTCTTAGGTCGTCGCCACTTTATTATATTTAAGAACTAATAATATATATTAATTTTTATTTAGTATTTATATAGAAAAATGGCCTTTAAAAGTTAGGTCCTATGCATGTGCTTCCCTGCCACAAACTCAAGACCCGCTTAACCTCTTGTTCCAAAAGGTTAGATTCACAACCCCGAGAGTCTCTCATGCCCTGACGTGACAGAGCATATGAGGATTTAAATCATGATGACTCATGTGACACTGCACCCGAACGTCCTTGAAATTCAAATTTAATTTCAAAACTTATGTATTGAATTTCCCTATTTTCGAACAATTGTAAAACGATTAAAGTTTTACGGAACGTATGATTAATCATATTACTATTTCGGCTCATATAATGGTAATGAACTTCTAAATAATTAATTGGGTCACATTATTGATATTGGGACCCAACATTCTTAAATAAAGATATACAACCCCTCGATACAATGTAAGAGCGGTCGGGCAGCCCAAATGTTATTTTGGACCTTACCTGCTAAAAATAGTAATTATTCAAGAATGACGTCTTATACCCATTGGAGGGTGACCCACACGGTTGGTAGCCCAGATATATAAATATTAATGTCATAAATGAGTGATGGAATGATTGGAGAAGAATACAAATGTCTATGGTCTCATCTTTGGCATTATTAGGCTAAATAATGGGAGTAGGGTTTTCTTTTGTAATTATACATCAAATGAATTATTGGGACCACCCTACACATATTAGAGATCAATAATATGATGTAGAAGGTTGACTTGATCTAAATAAATTGGGGAGAGTACAAAAGTACATCTTATGACAAAAGACAAAAAACAATAGGACTCATCTTCCCACTTTTGGAAGTATTGATAGATATTTTGCTCCCAAATTAATTAGGGGACAGAAGAGTGCGCCCCACACCTTCCTTGCACCTGCCAAATAAGTACAATAATGTTAGAATGGGGGAGGGGGTCGGACATAATTAACTTGGAGCTGAACTCAACAAAAGAAATCAAGGAAGGAGACCCACACATGCCAAATATATCCCATGGAGTCCATATCAATTCATTTCACTCCACACAACCTACCCAACTTATTTGAGGGGTCTTAGACACCTCTCCCTCACCCCTCATTCGAAATCAAAAGATAAGGAAGAGAGAAGAGCCGCACAAACCTAGAAGAGAAGAAATAGGAGAGCTGGCCGCATGGTATTTTCCAGGTGCGTAGGTCTTCTTGTGCGACTCATATCTCGAGTTCTGCTCATCCAAAATGGGCGTGGCAGGTGTCCACGGATATCTATCGAAACGAGGAATCCATAGACGTGCGTTTTGAAGAAAACGGAGTAGTGTAAGGCCTCCTAATCATCCGAAAAGAACGCAACCTCGCAGAATACGTTTTTGGTATTCAAAGTAAGTTCGAATCCAAAATCTTCCTTTCTATTGTCTAAATCATATAATTGATTGAGGAACTATTGTACACTGGTTGAGGTGTATAAAATGTTGTTATGAAGTGATTTTATTCATTGGAAAGGTTAGATACTAACCTAGACAAAACCTTGAAAGGTAGGGAACGAATTCGCCGGAAAACACCCGTTCTAGGGGCTGTTTTCGTGTCTTCCGCTAGGAGTGGAGCTAGCACCTTGAGGAGGCTGTTTAACACTCATTTATAGGAAAGGAATCAATTCTCAAACCCCCTTTTCCGAAGCTTGAGCATTGGGTTGAGAAGGAACAATTTAAAGCTCATTTGAGGTGAGGATCGACATCTAGTTGCTTACAACTTGTAGGTTAAGCATGAGATTATCTAAATGTCTAAATCATGTTTTTCATGGATTATAATGAATGATTATTGATGAAATATTGATATACTAGATAAGGAATGAAATTGCAAATGATTTGAAATCATATTGATAAAAATGGAGTTAAATGAACTATTGTGTGAAATATGCATTTTTACTCATGTGTGAATTGTGTAGATACATAAATGATTATTTATGTATTACATTGGATGATTGAGTTGCTGCTACATATCTCTAAATATGTAGGGATTTACAAATGGAATATACGATGGATAAGAATAATCTTAATAGTATTGAAATACTAGTTAATGATTGTTGTAATTGTTAAGGAATTGAATCTAAGGATTTGATTGTAATTGATGTACTTGATTGTGATGCAAGTGACTAAATTGACGTGATATGATGTAAGATCATGATGAGGCAGTCCGTAAGGATGTCCCAAAATAGATTATTGATATTACGATTCTAGGCATAATGAGTTCTTAGGAATTGGGGTCTATGCCAATGTAAGGAGGTGTACTTGAGCCCGATGCTCTAGAATTGCATTGGGTAGACATAAGGATTTGGTTCAGCCCATGTAAGGAGATGCACTTGAGCTCGATGCTATAGTATTGCATGGGTGAACATGACATTGGAGATTGGTGGAGTAATTAACTGGTAGAGATAAGGTTTAGGTTCAGCCCACGTAAGGAGATGTACTTGAGCCCGATGCTCTAGAATTGCATGGGTGAACATGACATTGGAGATTGGTGAAGTAATTAACTTGTGATTGATGTGAATGGTGATGTAGTTGAGTTGGACTCAATAAATGCAAACATATGTGTTAGGGTTGGACCCTATGTAACACCGCCCCCAAGTATTTATACTTTATCAAATTATGTATTGAACCTTGAGAAATGAATAAACGCATTTTACGTGATTGTAAATTTTATCACTTCTTTTGCGTGAATAGTAAAATTCACGTGGGGCCCACACCGGAAGTGGGGGCCGCTCGATATTATCGGGACCACATATGATATTAATCTTAGCCTAGATAATATGTATTTGGTGGTGGGTATTCTAATTGTGCCGTGGCAATGACATAGAGTGGACCGGTTGGTCAAACGGGGCCCAATTATCAGTATCGGCAATTTATCAGATAACAGTCCGAAAAAGGATTTCGGAGACTTCTAAATTAAAGTCGGGGAATTCATATTCATTCTAAGGTCCAATAAGTATTGGGAGCAAATGTTATATATTATTTGACCCGATGAAATAAAATATAATTAAAACAGCCCAGAAAAATACAACTTTCGGGACCGATTATTCACTCGGGGACACAAAGGGTTGACCTCCCACATAAGTGGGGGCCAACCCAAGAGAATACCTCGTCAAAGTGAGCTGGGAGGCGTGGAAAATGGATGTGAGGTGGGAGGGAGTTGGTTTGAGTTGATTGGCATCATACAAAACATGGGGGCCTCCTTCCCATCACTCATTGCTCAAATGAGCCAAAAAGGGTATTCCTACCCATCCCCCTCCCACTAACTCGGCCAATACCAAGGAAAGGAAGAAAGGGAGCTCTGAAACCCCATTCTCCCATAGCCCAATCCGAGCTAAGCCCAAGGAGGTCAAAGTCAGAAATTTAAAGAAGAAGAAGGAAGGAAAAAGTAGGGTGGTTAAGGTAATGATCTCATTTTAACTCTTCCTCTACTCTTTAACTACCATATGACTTATATGTTATATGGAGGACCCCTAGAATTGTTCTACATGTTTAGAGAAGTAGAATGATGGGTTGGAAGGTGGTTCTAAGTCCAAGAACGTACTTAGAAGCCAAAGTGACTGATTCGCCGGAAAATAACCTTTTTGAGGTTATTTGTATTACTATGGGTTTTATGATGATAAAACCTTGTTAGTAACTTGTCTAAGGTATTCAAGGAACTTTCACGGAGTTGAAAGGGTCGCCGGAGTTGTCGCCGGAGTTCGTTGAAGTTCGCCGGAGTTTCGCCGGAGCTAAATCGGGAAGGCTAGAACTTCATAAGCTTCATTAAGGTGAGAAGATGGCTTTATGCTTTATAACTTTTGCATGAGGCATGAGATTACCTAAAGTAATCAAAAATATGT